CATACAATCGAACCAAGGTAATTGTTAATTTCAGAGCTAGATACCAGTGGGAGCTCAAAGGGGATTGAAGTCTTTGAATTCAACCCCCCCTCCCCCAAAACATGTAGCACTGATATAGGCTTTGACTTTACAAATGTTATAAACTGCATTGAATTTTCAAAGGGTAGCTGTAGGTAGATACAGAACATGAGTCCTTTAATTTCAAGATAAATGTTCCAAATTGCAGTTTTACAACCACCCTATGATTGTATGCATTATTAATTTTGACAACACAGTGACTAAAATTTTGTTCTAAGGCGTAGTGACGATGACAAATGGAAAATGACTAGCTGTAAAAACAGTTTCAACAGTGAGCTCAGGTTGAAAACCCCCTGTCAAAAAATTCCCTGCTTACTGGGCAGCCATAGCCAGCTAGCTACCCAGCCGCTCTTTGACTTGTCACGCAATAGGAGGAAAGTTGCATGACGATACAAGGAGCTAGGAGCGTTGCGTAACGAGACAATGAAGGGTTGCATAGGAAATTAGAAAATCCTTGTCTGCCCTTATTTTAATATTTATTTGTTATTTTATATATTTATTTCGACATAACACGGAAATAGCCGTGTAAGGTCAGCATAAAGGTTAATTGACTGGTTAGCAATTTGAATCACTAATCTTTTCGCCCAGTGCTAGGTAATTCTAGACAGTCTTGGATTCGTGATTCCACCCGGCAGTGGATTGCGGATCCCAGTTACTGGATTCTGAATTCCTCGTTAGCGGTATTTCGGATTCCTCGAGCTGAATTCCTGATCCCAAATCAAAGGTTTCCGGATTCCACAGGCAAAAATTAAGTTTTCAAAAATATCCGCGTAAAAAAATGAGGCTCAGTTAAGCAAAATTGAACGATTGTAATTGAGATGTTTATGAAAACATTTCTAGTAACAGCTATACTTACAGTGTGCAGGTAATTATTTCACTTACCTTAAGTTCCATCGCGAGCAAGTGCGACCAATTAGCAATGCTAATTTAAGAAAATGAGTAGAGAGCCATGAAACAGACCTTAAATTTAACCCTTTAAGCCCCAGTATCCAAATACAAATTCTCCTGACTGATCTCCATGCATTTTATTAAAGAATTGGTTGAAAGAATTTGATTGAAGATCAAAAGCATTTTCACTTGGTGACTCGTCCTATTAATTCACATGACCATTTCTGTTGTTTATGTATTGGTATTGTTTATGAGAAAATTAATGTTGGTCACTGCTTGGACTTTATAAAGGGTTAATCAGTGAAATCTACTTATTTTTGTGCCTCAAATGTGCTGTACGTAGATTGGACAACCCGACGAGATGGATTTCGCTTTCCATTGGGATCTTTCTGAAACACGGTCAAAGAATGTTGTGGGAGTCAACTTCTCCTTTAATGGCCAAAAGCCCTTTGAACGATTACAAAGACTTAACGTCTTACCTGAGACCTCAAAAACTGGAGTCCTACCAGTGGATAGTGTTGATGTCTCATTTTCTGTTAAAAGCGCGGATAATAGCAGTACTGAGAATGCAGACAGTACCAATGCCGTGGTAGATCGTTTACTACCTAGATACATTCATGAAAGGTTTGAAGAAGCTGTGAATGCTGCCTTGATGAAGCTGCCACTTTTACCTGACTGGGAACACGGTGGTTTTGGCAATCCTGATTGTACTGGAACAAGAAAAAATGGGCCCGCTATGATGCTGCAGTTCAACTACAACGCAGGCGATGGAGGAAAATTTAAATTGACTCTGGATCTTGTTCTAGCAATAGACTTGCGAGAGATTTACGATGGCGACTTGTCAGAATTGTGTATTGTCGACATGGGGCCACCGTGGCAGCAAGAGCTTCTGAGAAGGAAACAGTTGTTGGATAAAGTTTTAACTAAAATCTACGATTCTATTCACCTGGATACTACCTTTGCAGAACGAATATGGCTTTCTACAATGGACACCGACCACCCAGTCAAAATTACAGTGCGTATCTTTAAAATACTCAACCAAATGGCCTTACAACTGCCCGACCCTGATATGATCGTCGACAGTGCTCTCTTCACAGTGGATAAAAATCACATGCTTTCCATGAGAGGACTTCGAAGGTAACTTTGTTATTCATGCATGTAAATTCAGTGTCGTTATACTAAGCTTTGTTCCCGTTAATCTGTAGCCTCCCGACTCGGAGTATTTCGCAGACTCAGGAAGATTGCAGAAGTTGATTTGAAAAGCGTTGATTAAAAAATATATATATATGCGACGCAAGGATACGGCTTTCTTAAAGGCAAGGAATTCTCAAATTTACGTATACTCCTAACATGCTCGTATAGTATTCAACTTCTTTAGAAAAGTTTAAATTCCGTTGCATGTTATACTTTAGTTCGGATAAGAATTTTTCCGATTACGGTCCTTCTTTCTCTTAAGGTGTGGTAAAACGTGTGAGTAACGTGTCGTGCGACAATTTTATTGTTTCACGTTACAATGTTTCATTTTTTACGCAGAGCCGGGGTAAAGTAAACAAAATGGGAAAACACGAATTTGAAGTCCGGATCTGGAAATTCTATCGATTTAAATTTTATCCTTTCTCCATGTCTTTAGTCTTGATCAAGACTTTGCAAAAACCTAAATTGCTCATCTCGCTGACGAGTTAAGTTAATCATAAAAACATACCTTTTGGGAAAGTCAACTTATTCAGTGTTAAGTCAGGACACCTGTTTTTATTTATTTATTATTAAATTTTTCTTACAGGAAAATGGCAAATTATTCTGCTAATGAGGACAAAGAGCGTGGCAGAGAACAAATCAGGAAGAAACTGCGACTACATTCTGTCAAACAGCTACAATACTATGATATGAAGGTCCCGGATGGCGAGAGGTTTATGGATGTTGGTGAATCGCTTGGTCAAAGACCTTATCTGAAATCCCATGTTTTCCAATCAGTTGTCCTCGCACTTTACGCTCTTAGTTGTGCTCAACATCCAGATGTAGGAGAAGACAAAATTTGGACCAGGAGCGACCTCCCAACAATTGTTGCCAACGTAATGATTATTGTCCAGCAGTTCCTTAATGTGGCTATTGACAATGACCCAGACTCCCAAGGATATCGATATTCGGTTTTTCCTAGTATTCAACTAGAAACGGAGGGCTCTCTTTACCGTCTACAGGCACCCAAATCCTTTTGTCTTGATGTCTATAGAGGCGACACCATCAAACGACATTTTGGGCGTATGTGGCATTTCTTTCAACAGCTAACGACACGAGAAGACAGGACTGAATTAAAGGAAGGAGGAAGTCCAACAGCAGCAACCTCGGGCGAAATAGTGCATCTTCTTCCCTTCACTTTTCGCGACAACGAAGGCTGACGAAAAACAAGGAAACTCAGACCTTAAGTTTCTCGTTATTTATTTTGTCTTTAGTGCACTGTCTTTAAACTAATGTAGAAATGAAAGTCGTACTTACACTAAACTCTAATTTTTTGTTAATAAATTAAGTTTAAATGAGCTATCTGACCCTGATATGTTAAGTTATCTTAGTTAGGATGACCTCACAATCATACGATACAAGCAGAAAGCCGCCCAATATTCTGAACACCACCATTTTTTCCATCAATAGTGGTTTCCGGTTGACATAAAAGGTTAGGACGACTGTCAAGACCCGTAGTAGAAAACTACTCTCTTTTAAAGACAGAGGAAGTCTTTTTTCTCCCTTTCCCTCCTTCACTTGTTTTTTCCTTTTATTAAGCTGGCAGTCGAGGTTGCTTCAATCGAATTATATTTCGGGACTAAAAGTGGCGATCGTGAACGCGTTTTGATGGTATGATTCAATTGTTTTGAGATCATATTTGATGCCCAGGAGAGGTGTGGAGGCCTTTTGAGGCTTAATTTATATTTTTGTCATTTCTTCCCATTCGTGTAAATCCAGGATTCTTCTTCATCATCAACCTGTTGGATATTTAACCCTTGCCTAGACGATCGCCCCATAATGCAATTAGAATTTTTCCTCTCATATTTCCACTGGTTTTTGTTTCCCCATAAACAGAGTACAACAGATAACGAACGGAGAAGCTTTGGCTTTTACTTTCTCAATACAGGTAAACTAAGGAATCACTTAAGTTGCAGTATTTTGGCAAATACACTCTTTATACTGACTTAATTAACATAGGCTTAATTTTCCCTTATATGCATGGTAATGAAGTCTTGCCTAGTCCCGAGGCCATGTATTTCATGCAGCCTATACGTTTCGTTTCATTTTCTGTGAGTGGACTAAGCGAGTGTTAGCCACTTTAGAAAATACCATAATAATCTTTTTGTTCCCCCCCCCCACCCCGCCCCCCCAAAATTTGCATAACCATTGTTTTCAGTTTCTCTAGTAACAGACTTACAATTCTAGTCAAGAAAGCTGGCATTTAACAGCAACAAAAAATCATTGTATGAAATTTTGCTTCGTACGGTAACGTCACGTCTTGGTTGAGTTTGTTGATGGTTCTCCTTCTTGGTCCCTGAGTCAATTCTTCAGGTATTTTCCCCTCTGCCTTAAATACCAACGTTTTCAAACTACTCGATCAGAAGTGTATGACTCTATCAACCAAACTGTTAATTAATTGATTAATTAATCAATTCTTTATTTAGTTAACTGTTTCTAGTAATCGATGCAGTGTCGTTCTCCGTATAATAGAAAGGTTAAAGCTCACTGCATCAGTCAGTCCGGTCTGTCCAGTTAAAAACCCTCGCAGTCTTATGGTTGACCAATGACGTGGTAGTCAGTCAACGTTCAATACTAGCTTTCTTTGTATTGACGTTCTTGATCAATCTTGACTTTCTATTAGCTTTCTTTCTACTGACGCTGAGTCTTGACTTTCTGTTGACTTTCTTTCTATTGCCGTTCAATCTTGACTTTCTATTGGCCTTTTTTCTATTGACGTTGAATCGTGACTTTGGGTTGCGGATTATCAATTATGTAACCATCCCCAGGCCAGGTGTCATCATAACAGGGGCCGACTGCTTTTAAATCCGAGTTGTGTTCAAAGTACGCATTCCACGTCTGAAATGAGTAGTTGTTCTTTCCTGCAGAGGAAAGACCTGATTAGTGGCGACTCTGGGGCACATTCTTCCACAGCAACAACTCAGAACCTGGTTAACAATTTGCACGTATCCAGCTCGAAAGTTCTGATTAAAAATTGGATAGATATATGGTGTAATGGCACTGTTAGAGTACGACATGAAGTACCTCACGAAATGAAAAGTAGCGCTGTTACAGATGGTTTGAAGTGGTTGTGGGCTAATACATACAAGAGCAAGCCAAGAGGGAAACCAACAAATGCAAAAGACGATTTCCACCGTCACGAGCATGGCGATCACTTTCCTATTGACCGTACGGTTACGAGCGGTGCTGGAGGCTGTCTGAATCCCAGGGTTTTCTCTGGTGTACATTTTCACCCCGATGGCAGTGTACAAGGCTGTTGTCGTAGTGATAGGAATGCCCGTGACGAAAATAAAGTCGCAAATTAAGTATGTTCGGTAGTTATCCATTGTTTTCAAAAGGTCTCTTATAAGGAAATTAGCGCAGTACGTTTTTCCTTGTATTTCAATAAGATCAGAGTAGCGAAATAGTAGATAGTAGCAACAGCATGGTAGGATCCAAGTCACTGTTATTATTACTGCCACCGCTCGTTTTGTCATAGGACGTCTGAGAGGAAAGACTACTGCCAAGAACCTATCCAGCGCGATAAAGGTAAATATCAAAGTAGAGACTAGCAGGGACACAAATGGGACTGAGCTGTTGATCTTACACAGAAGGAGACCAAACGTTCCACCGATGGGCCACTCAAAACCGACCAACACAATGGATATCATCCTAGGCATGTTGCAGACTGTGATGAGCAAATCGGCGACGCAGAGGTTAACTATAAGGTAATTATTTACAGTTCGCATTCGCCTGCTCGAGTTCTGATAAACTGAACCGATAGTCAGAGAATTGCCAACGAGGGATAGAATGATAGCAACTGCGTAAGCTAAAACTTTGAAAGCTTTCGAAACCACAGACTCCATCTCAGTGGTTAAAGAATTTGTCCCTTCAGAAGAAGTTTCGTTTCGATCATGAGTCCAGTTTGCTGTAGTGTTACCGAAAACGCGAACGATGGGAAAAAGCAAGTCGTTTGTCGTGTTCATTCTTTCGAAAGAAACTCAGTGTAAGTACTGTACCGATTTGATTTCTGGAAACAGTACTAGTTCAACAGTTAAATCCAGCTCTGCGTTGCTCTCAAACATGTTTGCCCAGGTGACAGATGACGGTCTTGTCGAGCATTATTTTAATCCATTGCTGTTTACTCGTGGTAATCTCGTATCAAAAACTGATAACGTCTCATTTCAATCATGGAAACAATGCTTTTTAAGATAGTTCTTGAACACGTGCTGTATATCAAGATATTGCGTACTAACGTGGAGTATTCATGCTGATGCCAATACACCAAAATTTTCCCAGTTGGTCTTAGATAAAAAAAAACATTCATTTCGGTTAAGTTTTTTCTTGAAAGCTTATCACATCATAAAAACCACAAATAGTAAAACACAAATAGAATTGGAATCAACATTTGTCGATCCGCAAGAAAATAAGGTGTTAATTGTTTGCGAGATTCTCAAGGAAACATCTCTCTTGATGTCTGAGTGCTAAAATCAATACTTTTATTACACGCTTTTTAAGCAATTACTTTTGACTTGTCATTATTTGTTTTGATGGCTTTGCAATTTTAATGTCATAAAACTTAAAATGCAGCGAAATTAAACCGAAACAGAATATAATTGCACCCGATTTTCAACAAGCGCGATAATATTTTCTCGAATTTTCGCAAAGATTAATGTATGCCATGGAGATACTGTATTGGCTTGTGTAAGTCATTCTTTTATATCTGGGTTAAAAGGTAAGAGAAATACAGTCAAACTTGTATCAAGCGAACCTTTATTTAAAGCGGTTACTTAACAACATCCCGCAAATCATTTCACTTAATGACAGTAAAAATGACCTGCAATAAGTGGTCACTTCTATTAAGGGGGTCACGGTCGCATTTCGAATTCCCAAGGTCTCAACGAGTTATTTTTTTTATTATCTTTACCTCTATTAAATGCCACTTTGAAAATATGTATCACACTTGTTGAACATTGATATACTGTGAATAGCTTTTAGTGGTCTGACTTAAACTTTCTTTTCTAGTTTTGACAAGAAAAGGTAGAAATTACACTTCGAGGACAATTTGTCTTGTGATGGATATTTCGCTTTAATAGTGCATCACCTTTATTTTAATGATGTTTTCATAACCTGTATTAAACAGTCGGTACGCCCTTCCCCAAGGCTAACCGCTTAATACAGGTCTGACTGTATTTGAAATTGGTCTCTGCACCATTTTGGCTCTCGAGAAAGTGTGTAATGGTATAGTCTGAGACATGATTCGACTGTATTCGAGAAATTTGCAAAAGGCTTTTTGTACCACATTCGGACTGAGACTGGCTCCATTTAGTGCACGTTAAAAACACTTAACACTCGACACTTTCTTTTCTTTTCCTTTACCTTTAAGCATCACTGGCTTCTTGCCAAAGTAGTGTTAGTAGAGTTGGCGGACCGGTCTTATAATAATAATAGCTTTATTTCGAATTCGTCGCGGCCGCTGAATAGAAGCACTGAAGACTCTATTATAGAGAGTTAGCCTTGACTTAAGGTAGATATATTCACAAATTCCAGTCAGAAAAAGACCTTTGTACAACCAGCTATGGTAAAACTGTGTTTATTTCAAACTCAAATTCAGGCACTTCTCGCTGGTGTTTGTGAATATTTCATTTTAGGTCCAGGCTAACCCTGTACAGATAAGTTTTCCACGCTTTTATTCAACTGGCTTCAGTTGTTCAACACTTGGATAGCGCTATCCACCGGAAAAATCACTATCCGGCAGTTAAGTATTTGGAAAACTAATTGCTCTATCCAGTGGATAGGCAAAAAAAAAGTTTATCCACCGGATAGAGTTATCCAACATTTGAACAACCGGAACCAGGACTATTCGTCACTTCGTCTTATTTTCGGGCAAAACAAAGATAATTATTACCACACTAAAATTCGAACCAGTTTAGAAACAAGAAGGGAACCGGGCCGAATGAGCAACTTTCGCAAAGACCTCTGGGATCGCTACTGACGACACGTCCAGTAACCGTCCCAGAAGTCTTTGTGAACGTTAGCTCGCTCAGTTTTTTTGTTTTTCCCTAAAGTTTCGAATATCAGGACATCATGTACGAGAACTTCAACTTAGGCGCCATCTTTATTAATCCGGATATATTTGGAAAATGAGAAATTTTGAGATGCCATGAAACACTTTGCGTCCAAACACACTCGCTCGGATAAATTTGAAAACGCGCTTCTTCTCTAATTTTTTTTTTAATATCTACTTTGAAGAGCATCATCGAAAAGTTTCGTTTCCAAAATTCATCCTTATTCACACTACGGGTTAAGCAGTGTTTTCAAATTTATCGTTTGTTCAAAAGCGTTTTCGACAAGTTCCGTTCAGGTTCGGAAACAATTTTTCTGGATTGGTGTGGAAGGTAGACCTAACCGTAAGACGTTGCTTTGTATCAAATTTATCCGGCGTAGTGTCGAAGTGTGGATGGGACCTTAAAGCATTACTACAAAAGTCGCGGTGATAAGATTTGTCTTTATGAGAAAACATCAAAGTATGAATAAGAACACAAAATTACAGTCTGGCGGCTGCCAAGAGGTTTTTCCCTGTTTTAGCCTTGTCCTAAAATAAATGAAGAAACATCAGTGGCACTTATGTTCGTTACTACTGAATCAGGCTTAGTAGTTTTTAAATCGTAATCTTTACATGACAACACGTTTAGTGGCGTAAAGCGTTCTTCGTAGGCGTCCACACGTATCTGGATATGTTTGAAAGCAGCGTGAGATTTTTCTCTCCATTTTCAGAAAAATACGCGTCCAAACGTAGCGTAATCGAATCGTTTTCGTTTGTCCACTGAAAACACTAAAACAATGAACAAAAGAAAACTTCCTTTACAGAGTGTGCGCCCTATGATTTAAGATATCAGCGTATTCAAAGATCTCCTTTTCGTCTGTCCAAACGAAAACGATAAGGCGACGTGTTTTTACATGTGAACAAATCGAAAGGCTGGAGCTCAGGAAAAAAAAATCCGTTTTCAAAACCGAGAACTTAATTTCACTTAACGGATCTGCTTAACTTGAATACGCAAACATATGACTTGAAGGAAGTAACCCAAAAATTAACTATTAATAGTAAATTTCCCCAAAGTAGTCCACTTTACCTTGCTGAATTTTGCCTTTCCATGTTGGTCCTCGATTCAGTTCAATATTATTTTCATAGGGAATTATTTACAGATCATTATAAGGTTCAGGTTTTTAGACGTGTTGTCCGGCCATTTCAGGAGTTCGTATTTTCGTCTGCTGCGTTAATTCTCCCCTCTTTCCTCTTTTTTGTCGCCGGTTGACATTGGAAAGTCTGCTTCTTTTTTCACACCTCAGTTTAGTCGCGTGTTAATATTCTCATCTGAACAAAATGTCGGTATGTTTTACGTAAATCGTCTGCTCTTCGCGATGGACTTCTCGCCATTCGCTGCTTGATGCAAGAAGGCTTCGTTGATCTCATCGAAATGCTTCGCTTCATGTTTTTAAAGGATTCACTTCCTTTTCTCTGGATACCAGTTATTATTTCGTAAAGCAACGACAGGTAGAGTAAAACAACGAGAATTTCTGGCTGTAGTTGTTCCATGCGGCCGACTTACTCGGTTCCAAATATCGTGTATATGAATATTGTTTCATTACCTACACTGAAGCGAGAAACCATCTTTAACTATGGTAATCGGATGAAGTGAGGGCAGATGTAACTGAGAGGATGAGAACCAAAAACATTAGAAATAAAACAAATTATATTATGCAAATTTATCAGGATATACCTGGCAAAAAATTAATAAGATCCTTTGAAGAGACAAGAAGTTATTTTTATAAACCTTACAGGTATTATGAACGTCTATACAAAAGAAAGAAATTGAGCAAAATTAAAGTTTATTTACACAATCCAGAAATATCTAAATGGTAATTTTGGATGCAAATTCAGCGCCTTCTGCAAAAAGCTAGTAAACAAACTCGACGTCCAACAGTTAAAATAGTTTTTAAACTTTTTATCACCAGCAATAATACGGTTTGAGTGCACGAGTATAATTTATCCTTGAACTGAGAATTAAAATTATTGTGACTCTCGCCGGCAGACGGAAGACAAGTGGAGGGGAGCGATATAGATATTCTGTTTGCTGTGTCAGGCAGCTGACATCGTTTATGAAAAATGTATGAAGTTTGCCATAAAAAGAGAATAAGCTGAAGTAGTATTAATAGACTTAACTATGTTTCCATTTTTGTTGTTAAATCATGCAGCCACGAGAGTAAACGTAACGTAACGTAACGTTAAACTCTTTTCTAGCACTTTTAATTTGAAGCAACGTTCTTATATATTGCTTGTTACGATGCATAACTCGTGTGAAGATTTCAGTACACACAATGTATTTAGGTTATCTAAGGAAAGTTCATCAGATGAAGGTGGATGCAACTATTATATCATCATTCAATGCTCTTTAGCCTCCGACCGAACCCTCGTTTGCGTACGATTTACCACTACGAATTTTGCTGAATTGTTTTCACATCCGGAACTCAACAACCTAATACGTCCTCTGAAAATTTAGGGTGCTTACTCCTTTCCTATCTTTTGAAGGAGATTTTGTTTAGGCTAACATTATTTTTAACTTTTTTATATTTTATTTGGCTAGATGTCTTGCGTGATGGCACCCCTATTGCAGGACTAAAAATTTTTGAATAAAGGTTGACGTCGACGAAAGACAACAACACTGACAAAAACATTGAATTTGAGTTCTTTCAAACTCCTTAGCGATTATTCGGTCTCGCTCAATTTGCGTAATGTTGACGAATTTTCTTGGAGTTGAATTCTTAGGGACCGCATCCAAGTTAAAAAGTAGAGAGAAAAAGTTGCATTGTTGTGCCGAGGTGTTTCTATAAACATTAGGAAATGTTACGTCATAGTTTCGGAGCGGTGGGCGTCAAGGAAATGTACGAAAATGTGTGATGCTCTAAAAAATTCTTGTTTTTTGGC